TTTGATATGCAATATCGGGGACATTTGCAATCATCTGTGCAGTTTCTACTACATTAAACTGTGTGTATATATATGTATATTTGGTAGAAACAGCATGAAGTGTGTTTTTGATGGATAATTAAAGCAGGAATGACTATTTATGATGAGTTCTATCTCGGACTGGCTGTATTTTTGTAATATTATTCAAGTAGGTGGTACGAGCACTTCATTACACGAGAACACTGACTGATTCTGCTGATGATTGTCGTGAATATGTGTGTGTTGTCACTGAATGGTGACGTCACTTATTTCCAATATACTTTATTTAATACGTAAAGTTGAGGTGAATATGAATGTGTAACTTTTGCTATTTATAGACTAGTTTTGTATATTTAGTTGTGTACACAAACTTAAACACAAAAGAGCACATCTTTTTGAATAACGTAAATAATTTGGCTTGAATGCTGTGATGTGTATATGTTTGGTAAAGGCTGCAGTAATTAGCTAAAACTACATTAAGGGAAAAACAGAGAATGCCTTGTGTTTACCCAATTCTGAAATTTAACCCTACATTCTGACCTGTTAGTTAAATTGGCGTTTTTAATATTGAATATAAAAGCCATCTTCCATGCTTCTTGAACCACTGGTCCAGTGTTAGCCTGCTCTATGACTATACCAGGATGGTAAAAATGCTCCTATTAGAAAATCTGAAGATCTCATTTTTATTCCAGCAACTTCGAGAGGATGTTTGGAGAACCTTTTCAGAAGTGTGGCTAGAAATTGCTTTAGAGTAACCAAGGACAGAGGGAGCTAATTCAAGAACCTCTGACACCATTTAATTGATAATGGTTTTACATCAATTTTTACACCACCAGTGTCAGAAGTGAAATCAGTGGTTCTGACTCTATAAGCACTGGAAGGTGGCAAACATTGAAACACCATAGTATCCTATAGTAGGACAGTGATATACAGCTCTCTAAAGGGGACAAACATTGAAACCCCATCAGTATCATATTGTAGGACAGTGATATACAGCTCCCTGGAGGTGGCAAACATTGAAACACCATCAGTATCTTATGTCAGGGCAGTGATATGCATTATCTGGAAAGTGGTGACAAATACTAAAACACCATCAGTGTACTATAGTAGGACAGTGATATACAGCACCCTGAAGGTGGCAAACATCAGTATCCTATAGTAAGACAGTGATATGCAGCATCTGGAAGGTGGTAAACATTGAAACCCCCATCAGTATCATATTGTAGGACAGTGATGCACAGCTCCCTGGAGGTGGCAAGCATTGAAAAGCCATCAGTATCTTATGTCAGAGCAGTGATATGCATTATCTGGAAAGTGGTGACAAACATTGAAACACCATCAGTGTACTATAGTAGGTCAGTGATATACAGCACCCTGAAGGTGGCAAACATCAGTATCTTATAGTAGGACAGTGATATGCAGCACCTGAAAAGTGGCTAACATTGAGACACCATCAGTATCCTATAGTAGGACAGTGATATGCAGCATCTAGAAGGTGGTAAACATTGAAACACCATCAGTGTCCTATGGTAGGACAGTGTATGCAGCACCTGGAAGGTGGCAGATATTGAAACACCATCATTATTCTCTGGGACAGTGATACGCAGCATCTGAAACAGGTGCATGAAGATCCGCAACCCAAAGGATGTCTTTCTTGGTTTCTGACTTCCCAAAGCTACTTTGACACCAGCTACTGCAACTCCAGTTTTGTTTCGTACCACTTTATCAGCTTGAAGATTATGTTGTGTGTTTTTTATTCTTATGATTTGAACAAGAATTATTTCGAGTTTTCTTTGAGTTTAATATTATTCTATTTCAATATATTTTGAGTTTTCATGTTATTCTATCTCAATATATTTTGAGTTTTACATTCAGATTTTTCTCCCTGTATTTCATTTTGTATTTGGTTTATTTTCAGCTCAAACTGTATTGTGTACATTGTTATATTTTATTTAACTGTGTTCATTAACCTTACGTTGTACGCTTGAATTTATTTCTTTTTTTGTATTTAAATTATTCTTATTCACTATGTGTTTACCTTGTACTGTATTCTGTTCATGGATGTTTCTTTATTTTATGATTATCTAATTATTCTGAATTAATTTAGTATTCTATTCAGTTTGTATTGTGTTTAACTCTATACAAGCTAGAATGTGTTCTTATTTTATCCCAATTAATTCCTGATTTCAACTAACCCTTAGCTGTGGCTTGTTTTAAATTTTGTCACTCCTTATTCTGGAGCACTTTTGTCAAAGAGGTAATTATGGAGCCAAGACATTTGAGTTAATTGAGTTCGAGCTGAGTGATAAGGAAGGCTGAAGTATGTCAGTTAAAAACTCCTAGATTTAACCTTTCTATAACTAGAAACATTATTCGTTCAAATATATTCTGGTATATTTTAGTCTTTCTATAACTAGAAACATTATTTGCTCAAGTATATTCAGGTATATTGTAACCTTTCTATAACTAGAAACATTATTTGTTCAAATATATTCTGGTATATTTTACCACATTTTCAGTTAAGGTCACGTGGTCATTCATGAGAGCTTGTTCTCGTTTGGCCTAGCTTCTGTATCACCTCTGGTCTGGTCTACGAGTCACACACAAGTGAAGAAGTGGTTTGGTTATTGAAGTATAAAGTTAAAGATTGAGCATTGTATCCTCTGCCCACCTCGGGTATCGAAACCCGATTTTTAACATCGTAAGTCTGCAGATTTACCTCTGAGCCACAGACGTGGGGACGTGAAGAAGTGAAGCTTAATGTTTGTTCAAGTTGGTTTCAGCTATGAGTTGACTCACCTAGAACAGTATAATGAGAATGGTTATTGATATAGAAAATATACGATTTTGTGATATCACAACATGGTTTTAACCTGACTTGCAAGTGTCTGTCTTAGTAGACTGAAGATGTTATTTCGTTTTTCCGCCAACATCCAAAATGATGAATAAAACATTAACCAAATGTGTGTGAATAAAAATATTATTTTTTTTTTTTACATTTGTAATCGAGTATTTTTCTTCTGTGTTAATTTTACTTTTCTGTAAGCTACAGTTTTATATGTAAATACTAGCAAATCAGTATTCAGCTTTATTGTATGTGTTATAAACGCTTGTAATTATCAGCTTCACAATGAAGATATTTTAAAATCATGCGTTAAGTTCACTTAATAAAACCACCTTTATATTCCTCGGGTTTTATGAGTTTGTGTTTTCTATCTGTAACTACAAAGATATATGTTGATGAATTGTAGGAAAACTGTTCTTCTGTGCATTGTCTTATGCAGTATATTGTATATATATTGTTACGTCTCTGGTCGTTTGTTAATTTCCCGTAAAATTTCTTCCCGAGGAACTTCAGCGAGACAAGTCCTTTCT